GTTAAACCCATCACCCCTCTCTGTACCTACATTTTTTCTTTTTAAAGCAACTTTGTGAACAATTTCTGTGAACACTGGCTGAATTTCTGAGAGCTAAGACAAAGTGTTATGTTCTGTATTCTGCTGCCTGCATAACTTGACATGTAATGCACTTTCAGTTTTGTCTGAGTAGCATATCATAGGTTAATTAGATGTGTTATTTTTAAGTAGTAGGATAAAGTACACTAAAGAGGAAAAATGAAACCATGAAAATTCAGAGAAAGCCTTAGGGATAAATTCAAGAAATTATACACAGGACAACATCTATTCTGTTAACAATATCCATAAGAAAGGGCACCCTTTTTTCACCCTAAAATGAAGTCAAATGGATACCTACAACTCATCTACTTTCTTTTTAAATTCAATTTTTTTGTCTTACACTAACATGCTCATCATAAAATATATGAGCCCTGTATGCCAAAGGGAAACAACATAATGCTCAGCTATGACAGAAAAACCTGCACACATTACTTAGAAATATATGTTTTCATTTTCTTGCATGACATGTATATAATGCTATTTTTTTTCTTATTTTCTACTCAGTGGTATACCTCCTCCTGAGTATATCATAGCTTTCATGTTGTATATCTGAGCTCCATCCAAGCAGGATATATTTCTTCCCCCTCTGTATGCAGAAGTAGATTAACTGATTTTACTGTGATGCTGGGGTTATTCAAGAGTATCCCTGTGACAGAGGAGCAAAACTAAGGCAAAGTTAAGTTAGGCAAGTGCATTTGTCTTGGTATATTTAAGGATGTCCTTAATTATGCTTTTGATTGTTTGTTTTCCTGCTACAGCACAGATGTGGCTTGATTCAAAATACAGATTACTTGTGTGTGGCTATATGGCTTGTGTTTTCCAGATACTTAATAGGATGAGTAGTCTTCCTGAATGGTGGGAAGTTTTGTGTGCATTAGTATTTGGATAATTTTGTGAGCGTCCAGAAAGCTTCTCAAACTCTTGACAAGTGTAAGGAATTAGAGCAAATGTACTGAAGGATGAAGCAGGTGTTTCAGTATGTTCAAATGTTTTTTTAGTTTCAACAGTAGCATCCCCTTGTACATTCTTACATTCTGTTTTTATGCTGTTGGCCTTTACCCAAGTGTGGAGCTCGGCTGGACAGAAAGCTAAAACACAGGAGCAATGAAACTGCATAGGAACTTTTGATCCCCCTAGAGATATTGACTGAGAGCCAGTTCTAGGACATTATTCATTTAGATGGATTTTGGCAGGAGTAGGTGAAGGAACGGTGGTTTAATGTCCTTGTTTTTTGGGTTTTTTTTTCTAGTTCTGTCAAATTCAGTATATCTGTCTTGAAGTTATATTGGTGATTGTGTATGTGGGCAGCCTGGGAACTGTTTGGTGATTCAGGAAGTTCATGCAGTACTTTATTGATGTCTGTTTGTTTTTCACTGCAAAAACCACCCAAAAAACCCAATAGTGATTTTAATAAGAATGAGTAGAACACTCTCTACAAATAGTTCAGAGGCAGTTTCTCATTATATCCTGAAAGAGTAAATGTGACATTTCCACCACAGGTAGACACATAAATTGGCAGAGACATTTGGAGGTGTTACTGGAGATGACCTGTGGTATTTGAGACGTCCTCATAGGGTTATTTGATATGGTGCAAATCTCATGGGATGCCCTGGCAGTGGTAGCTGGAGGCCAAGTGACCTAGGCTGGGCAAAGAATTGGGTCAATGCTGTTCATTTGTTTGGAAAAGTTGTGGGTGTTGGTTTTTGGGGGTTGTTTTGGTTTTTTGGTGTCTTTTTATTTTTAATTTTTTTTTTTGTTTTATTTTACGGTGAAGTATGCTGTGTGGAATACTTAGTTGTGTTACTATATACCATAATTCTCGAGAACTTGTTATTGAGACTTGTCTTCCCTGAGATCATAAGGCAGTAGGGTGCTGCTTCCTGCTTCTTAAATACATAATACAGTTACTTGCTGTTGATGTTCAGCATAGCTAGGTTGATACTCCTTGTGAAATATGTCTAACACCTTGCAGTCTTATTTGGATTTTGATGTGGAGGAAGTCAGTTCAGGAGCTGGGATAGGGACCATGTAGTTACTAGGAGCATTTCTCTTCCCTGAAGGTTAAAGTGAGAAACATCACCAAATTAGTGCTGCTTCTTGTATGGCTGAGTCAGGTGCTATCACTGTGACATGTTTTTCCTATTGCTTCTGAAATATTCTGTGACATTCAGCCTTATGTTAAGTATGTAGTTGTCAATAATTTCTGTGACTAAGAGGCCTTGTCCTCATGTCACACTGCCCCCAAATATGACAGCTGCAGAGTCTACAGAGCTGTGCTGTAATGAGGCAAGAGATATGGAAAAAAGTAAATTGTTGTCACAGTAGGTAGGTATGCCAAGAATTTAATTTCTTTTGAGCAGCACAGGCAACTGGCATTTCAGTTGCTCTGCATGAGACATTTTTTGGTTGCCAGAGCTCAGATGAAGAGGAGCTGTAATGCAGTGTATTGAAATGTCATAACCTAAGGACAGAAAGAACCTGAACATATTACAGCTATGTCCCTATGGATCAAGGAGAGAGCAAATTATATAAGGAAGTTACTGATGTGCACTGGTAGTTAAAATGTCACTTTTCTTTTCTTATAACCCTTTTCTTACAACCGTGCTTGAGTCTGTAAGTGCTATGGAATTAAAAGTTTTGTTTCAAAGAGGTAACATTTTTGAATGCATTTCAGTTCACATGGAAATAGGGGCCAAAAGCAGTGATTTGGGGCACCCATAGTTCAAACAGCACTGAACTCCCCATTCCTAATGTGTTCCAATTCCCTCTGTTTTTCTACTAATGCATCTTGATTCTACTTAGCAATAGCATTAATAACAGCATGTTTCAATTTGTATTTTTCTTCTATGATTTTAATATAAACCAACATCACAACTTTGGTGTATGGGCAGGTAGAATTGTGTTCCACACCACCTTAATTGGAATGAGCCTATCTCTTCAGCTGGCTGCATAAACTTGCTTCCCCAAAGAAATCTCACTAGAATTCAGACATCAGATATCCCAACAACTACAGTTTTAAGTTCTCCTGAAAAACTTGAATGCCCAAGAATAGCTTGTCCTGTGCAAGAGAGGTCCATCACCAGGAACATTCTGAGACTATCCTAGAGGAGGGCCAGTTCATTTTCTCTCCTGAACAAACATGAAATCACATGGGAACTTAAAAAAAAAAAAAATCAAATATTGTGGGGAGACAGTTCAAGGTCGTTGTATCTTCCAGTAAGTTGCTGAAACAATCCTGATAGCATCTCTTGAATGTGATGACATGCAATGCCAGAGATGTGTGCCTGAGCAAAAGACCTGGTTTGTTAAATGCTTACACAACTGGTGTGGGGTATATATAATATGTGTAGGGTAAAATAGAAACCTGTTTACTGGCTCTTTGCTCTCCTAGACAGAGCCATTCTCCAGGATCTGGGCAACTTGCCTTTAGTAAGGCTTAGGAAAAGGAAAAAAAAACTGCCCTAGGGTGTGTACTGATACTATTTATCATATTTTCATTACTTGTTTGCTACAAGTAAATGATTGGAGCAGCTGAGATATTTCATCATTGCAGATTTGATTATTTTCGGATCTGAAGTTTAGCGTGTCTGATCCTAGCTGCACAAATTAAATACTAACAAGCATTCAGTTAGGTGAGTCCACTGTTTATTGCAGATAACTACTCTTGTTTTAGAAAACAGAACTTTTAGAAAACAGAACATTTGTCATCTGTCCAATTCACTGAAGTGGAGATAAAAGTAATAAAATGACCCTTGGGTAAAGAGATCTTCTTGTTTTGTTTCTGGAGGGGGAAAAGTTTTCCTGAAACTGTCACTCCTGAATGAGCTGATGAATTTTTACTTTCATTATATTCCTGTTTTCCACTGCACTGCAAAGCATGAATAAGTTTGCGGCTTTTTCTTTGATGGTTTGCCCCTAATATTTCTCTGTGTAAATTCTTTTTTAATTTCTCTGCTTACCAAGTCAATGTTTGCCAGTGATTGAAATTCTGGACTAAACAGTACCAATGAGGCTAATTTATGTGGGTTAAATTCTCCTGGAATGCTTCACTTTGGAGTTATATTTATGAGTAGTCTATATTCCCTGTTCTGTACCTTCCCAGTATTAAGCTGTTGAGGGAAAAGAGATTTAAAAAGAAACACTCTATTTCCTTTTGAGTTACGATGAGATAATATGAACAAAAGGCGCCTCCTTTAGTTACCTACATAACTTACTTAATATAACAGTGATTTGACTGAAATGCAAGTGCAAAAATATCAATAGCAAATAAGTGGCAGGCCACAGTTTACCTCAGACTAGATCTGCTCAGTCTACCTTATGCCATATCTGAGGAAAAATAAGGATGATTTGGGATTCAGACTGGGAAGCAGACATACCACTGAGGTGACTTTTAACTGTTGCTGTGTTGGTGTTATGTTTGAGCAAGCACAGGAATGAGGATGCAAACAGCTGATGGTTTCCTTTGAAAAAGACTTTCTGTCTAAATTTACAGAATTCTTTGCCAAGTCTCCCAAGGATCTTTCCAGAGACAGTGAAAGTGCTCATAAATAACCCCTCACTCTAGTAACAATGCATAACACAGCCTGGATTGTTGGGATTTCAGCATCCACTGACCAGCTGGGTATTGCACAGCTGTCAAGCCTCTGCAGCTTCCATGTATTGCTGACTGCCTATGATAACAATAAAAAAATAAATCAGCAGAAAAGATTTTTGTGGTTTTGGAATTGTTGTTAACTCTTACTAGTGCAACATTTCTTCTTTAGCTGCTGCCAATAAAAGAGTGAGTCTGGCATGAGAAATTTGTGCCTGTGGCAGCGGCAGCTCTTTGGCAGCCCTGCGCTCTCTTCATGTTCCTGTGGATAAACAATGTCTGAAATCCTTGGTGCCGTAATTCTTCTTTTTATTCCTGATTTTTGCTGCAGGTTGGGGAGTTCAGAGCCCACGCTGCAGAGTGGACAGCCAACGTCACCGCCGAGTTCAAGGAGACTCGAAGGCGCCTGAGCGTGGAGATCTACGACAAGTTCCAGCGTGCCACCTCCATCAAAAGGAAACTCTCTGCAGAACTCGCCGTCAACCACAACCAAGACCTGACCCCCTGCAAGAGAACACTGTCAGTGAACCACCTGACCAGCGAGAAGGACCTCTTGCCAGCTCTGACAAAGACGGACAGCATTTACATGAACGGTTTGACGCCGCACTGTGCAGCAGAGGAGATAGCTGTGATCGAGAACATTAAGTAGCCATGACTTTGGATCCCAGCCCTTGGGAAGCTCTTGGCTTAGACTAGCCATACACCTTTTTTTTTCCACCCTGTCGATGACCAGTGCTAGCAGCATTTTATATGTGTGCATGAGTACCACAGAAAACCTACAGTCCCGAGTTACCATCGCATCTCTTCAGAGACACATAGATGAACGGCACTGCTGTTTCCAAAAGATGCTGGAACAAGCAATGTTTTCTGCCTTTATCTGCCCAGACTGTTTTTCACTTCTAATGTGCCATATGGCCTCACGAATGAATCTCACTTGTTTATGGTAACAATGTAGCTTTGAGGGATCAGTCCTTAAAATTTCAGGGTCTACCTTACTGAGCCTAGGAATGGACCATTTCTGGACTACAACACATTTGTAAATGGCAAGAAATTCTTATGCAGCCTTTTACCTAAGAAATTTTGGTCAGTGCCTTATCTTTTGAAGAACCAGAACCTCTACAGTTCCTGTACAACTTTTGTTTGTTTGGGTTTTTTGCATGAGAAGTGTCTTTCATTTAAACCTTTCGTTCTTGAAATGGTGGTGTTTCAAAGGTGTCTATTGTGAAGATACCAACCAGCATGAATGAATGCCAAAACTCAACAATCATCAATTGATGTTGTTAGCTCCAAATTTAAAGGCACTGCAGTTTCAAAAGTTGCAAACCTGTCCCCCAGAAACATTTTGTTTTACTCAGGTCCAGCTGATACTTATTCATGCTGACTTGTAGGATTTGCAGACCCTTTTCAGGTCTTAGTTTTCCAAGCAGTGTTCAGCAGTTGTTTTTCTCTGCATCAGATGTACCAAAAAAATCTGCAGTTTATCTATCACTAAATTATTTGGTAGATGACAAGAGCAAGTAAAAATTACTGTTTTGATGAGAGGCGGGGGGAGGCTTTAAATTGCTGTGTTCTAATAATCACATCCAAAAAAACAATGCAGATGAATACAGCTATTTTTAATAAACATAAACCTTCTGCCAGATATTTGGTATGAAAAGGATTCTTAATTTCCTTTTTAAGCCAAGTCACCCCAGAGGCTACATGATATTTTACCCAGGAATCCTGGTGGAGTGCTTTCCTGAATGTCATGTGGGTTGCCTGTGTCAGAGCTGTGGCTAACGTGGGAATGCAATTGAAACTGGTATCACTGTGACTTTCTACATTTCAAATAGAGATGGCTCTGAATAGCAATGCAGGCATGAAGAAAAGCTGATAAATAGCACAATCTGAATACCAATGATTGTTCAGACAGGATAGGCTGACAAGAAGCAGATCTAAACCAGACTTTGGGTTTTCTTTATTGGTTTTAAGAAAACACATTAATTTTGTACCTTCTGTTTTGCTTAGAGGTATATATGAGATTCAGAAGAAATGCAGGATGGAATGGATGATTTTGCATTTTTTTTTCCTTATGTTAGTCTATTGTAACCTGGCTGTACATAAAATGAATAGGACAGGCCTTAAAGAAAAATTTAGGCTCTGTAAATTAAAAAAGAATGGGACTTTGCTGATTGGGCATGATTCAAGTGGCAAATCTTACAGCATCTCTGACCATTAGATAACATGCAAGATATGAATGTTCATGTTTTTTGGATGCTTAGCTTGTTTTCTAATAAATATAAGTTAATATGTACATTCAGTGTAAATATCAGTCAATTAACATTTACAGAGAGTACGCTTTTAAAACTAAGAAAGTTCCATGACACAGCACCGAGCAATGCTCTTATAACAAAGACCCTTGTCTCCCCAGCACAGTGTTCTGAATGTCCACATGGCAAGGGTTCTTGCCATGTATAAACTGTGAATTCTAATGAAAAATAAAGTTTTTAATTAAAATAAGTTTTCCTGAATCTCCTGCTTGCTACAACTGGAATGCTAAGGAATAATTTGTGAAACTGATTTTCATGCTTTCATTGGTTACAGAGTATAGCAGTTTGCCACCTGCTTTAATTTAAGCTGGTTTAGCAATAAAGGCTTGATTTACCCAGCACAGAAATTACTATTTTTTTTGCCTTGATATTAAAAACTATGCTCTTTGGTTGCCCTACCTTAAGTTGTGTTTCTTGCCATTTTGTTTCAAAAACTCATCAGGATTCAGTTTCTTCCATCATACGCTACAGAGCTTCAGGCAGTTGCTCCATCCTTGGCCTGGGGGAGGTGCAGGGGGCTCTGCCCCTCTGTGCTGCTGGTACTCCTGTGGTTGCTGGAGCCTTTCTGCCTGCAGAGTGTGGGAACAAACACCTCTAAGCACAGTTCCTTTCATACTGCAGTTTTTTCTATGGTGAATATTTTACAGCAGCCTCTTTAATTAGGTCTTGGCCAAGAGAATGAGAGGCCACAGCAGCCTGGTGGTGAGGAAGACTACAGGTTTTGTATTGTTTCAATCTTATGTATGTGGGGTGCGTTTTAGCGCCTTTTGGAGCTGATTTTTCAGAAAATGACAGGTAATGTTCAAAATTTATTGTCGTTGATTCCCTGAACTATCTTAGGTTAAAGCCTTGTTTCCTTTTACCAACCTACAGAAGTGCTGGGTTTTGTGGTTTCTTTCATTTTAAAGAGTCTCAGGACTTACTGAAAAGAGCATATTTTTTAGAGGTCCTGTGGCAATGTTTGAAATGCAAGTATGGATACTTAAACCCATTCAGGTTTTGTTTGCTTTTTTGAATATGATCTCTGGAAAAAAAAATCTCTGTCAATTGATATATATATTTATTTTTTCATTTTTGTGACAGATTTAAATTATCCTTCCTTATCAAAATAGATTTACCTGTAGGGAACAAAGCATAAATAAAGAAAAAAATCCTTTATTTGGAGGTTCAATAATGGAAGGAAAAAAGATGCCACAGTTCAGATGGTATAAATAGGTAGAGTTATCATGATCCAAACATGTCCAGTGTCATTAAAGTTACTGGAAATTCTTTTCTTCCCTCTCCACATACAGTGATAGACCACAAAGTCTGAGGATGGCTCAGTTGATTTATAATACTTGATGAACTCAAAATTCCTATAAGAACTTACTTTTGTATTAAAAAACCTATCTTTCTTGCCTCAGGAAATTTTGCATAGCTTATTTTCCCTTCCAAATATGGAGCTACCTAAGCATGAATTAGGATCCATTAGTACCTTCTTTTCTGTCACCCATACATGGATGCATTTCAGATTGCTAATATGCCTGGTACTTAAGCAAGCTTGTGAAAAATGGTAAGAGGCTGTTTTCTTTCATACTGAAAACAACAAAAAAAGGCATTGGAAAGATGCCTTCTGGATGAAAGACAAATTGTGGCATATAAGAATCTATAAAGACATATGCCACATAACAGAACAATTTATTTCTCAGTATTACAGTAAACACTTAATTTAAAAAAATTTTGAAATTTCTTGAAGGAGTAGCTAGAGGTGATCTGTATTGTTTACTCTTGGCTGTGATACTCTTGCCTTTTTTTTTTTTCCTTTGTATTTGGTGTGCTGTGCCTGATAAAGTATCTATGTTGATGAAATCTTCAATTTTTGGGTAGCCCTTGATGAAACCTTGTTGATGAAACCTCCAATTTTTGGCATGAGAGCCAGGGAGATCAAGTTGCAGAGAATTTGTACCATACCCTATTCTTGCTTGAGTATCAGACGAGAACTTTGGCATCCCCTCCATGTGCTTTGTAGCCCCAAGCTGCCTCTCCCCTTTTTTTGTAATATTTTGGGAGCCTTGAGGTGTTACTGTCAGAGCAGTGAAAAGCATGGAAGGATCAAACCCAGAAGCTTTCTGAATCTCATGAGCATCCCAGCCATGCCTCTCCCTCTCCACCTCTTCCTGATTCCATAGAAGGAAAGCTTGAGGGTAACAGAAATCCACAGAAAAGCTAAACCTCTAAAGTTTGCCCTCTTGACCTGAAACACACCTTCCTTAGGTCACACTGTGAGACCATGATGGCAGATGGGAGATCTGTACATCTCTTTGGAGTTCTTGCTCCTCCAGCATTATTCCTACACCAATGACCTCTAAAGAGGAGCACAACACACCCTGCAGAAGAAGAAAGGAGGCTGCACTACTTTCAAAATCAAATCTACATGCACATCAAAAGTGGATGCACATTTATAACTAGTTCCTGGGAAGGAGATTTTCCTGTCAGGGAAACTACCTACAGTGTTGAAATGCTTCTAATAAATTCCTGTCATACAGTTATGTGATAATTAACTTTTCTTTCCTACCCTGCAGTACTGTTTGAAAGGAAAGGATTTTATATGTATGGAGAAATACGCATTTTGCATGACTTCCAGAATTAATTATTTCATCACTTAATTTTTTTTTTTTCTGTTGCCCTGCAGATTTAAATGAACAATGTAATCTTATAGTGAATAAAGTGCTCCTTTTGGGAAAAGTAGACAAGATGCTAATTTGCTGTTATTGGAAATAACAAGCTGTTGAGCTACATGGAAATTTAAAATGTCAGGTTTTTCATTTGAGCAAGCATTCTCTGCTTTGCCAAATTATTGCTACAATTGTAAAGAGCTTTTGTGAGAATCAATAGGTATAGTTTTATTGCACTTAGAAAACTTGAGTTTTCCAATTTTAGGCCATTGTTTATCACGCTTTTATGACGTTTCAGAGGAATATATTGAATAGGCTTGTAAACAAGTACATTACTTATTGTAGAACAATAAGTCCCCTTCATGCATAACAGCTGATATATTAGCACATGCAGCTTTATGTTCTGGACCAGATATATTTGTGCCTTTAATAGGTATTGACATTGTTGCATCTTAAATTGTCTAAAAAATCCACTTTGGTATAATGACTCTAGTTTCATGTAAACTCAGTGATTTGAAAATATAGCTCAATTTTAAGTCAGTATCTTGGAAAATCAATAAACTACACAACTTTTTATGAATTATAACAATCTATCAGCACTGATGATGTAATAAATAATACGTTATTGATTGCCTGTTTTAGTTATTTTTGAATATTAGCTGTTTTCCTACCATAGTTGCTGGAGTCAGATAATTATGAAGAAACCAACTCATCTCCATGGTTTGTGATCAATACACTATGACTGGGCTGCTGGTATTAGAATTCTTAGTGGTTAAAACTATGGTATTTGTTCTGTCTGCACTGTTAACAATTATCAGTAATAGCATTCATTAGATTCTCTGGGTGCACTGAATTTTCTGGGAATGTCACAAGACATCTCTAGTTTGACTTTGGCAAACAAATGTACTTAGTGAGAAACTCCTTTAGAAGGATTCACTGTGTTAATTCAATAGTTAATAATAGCTAATTCTCAATACTAATTATATGCAGCCAGATCATCCTCCAGAGAAAGGCATATAACACACATACAATAGAGAGCCTGATGGGAATGTACTATTTGTCTTTAGCTAAATAACAATATTCTTCAGAAAATAATCAACAGCCTGAAATGAGTCCTTAAACAGCAGTTCAGTGTTAACTCCATTTCTTTTCCTTTCACTATTAATTTGATCCTTCAAATTAAACAGGGTGTTCTGAGAAGTTTTGCTGAAGCAATACACTTGCTGTGAAAGATGTATTTTAGTCTTGTTTGGCTCAGGGGATACTGAGACTAACCTTGCTGAATGACTAGAACATATATGTTGAAAACTTTCTTATGGGAACATGAGAGAATACATCACTGCACTGCTGATTTTGACTTTTATACAGTGACAGATCTGCTTCTGCTTCATGTGGATTTTGCTTTTTCTGCAAAATTACAGTATTCAGTATTCATGCACTCAAGTATGCAAAGCCCACTAGCTCTGGTATGAAATGTGATAAAGAGAGGTTCTGCTTTAACTATCCCCAGTGGTTAGCATGCCCTTCTCTGTAATGTATTGTCATTCAGAACCATTTGTCACCTTGCTTCCTCTGAAGAAGAGAAAGAATTTACAGATTTGCATATTTGGACAGAATAATAGTCCAAGAGATGCAGGCCGGGCCCTTCTAAACTGCAGACTTATAAGTCACAAAGTCTGAATGCCTTTTTAATAGAGACTACCACAGTGGCTTGTAGCAAAAAGGAGAAAAAAATTAGGCTCTGCTGTGAGAAGTGAAAGTGGGAGTAACGTGTCATGTACCATTGTACTTCATAAAGTGGAGGTGGTACAGACACAAAGACCTTTTCATTTCTCAGTGTCCTCAGGGACTGTCAGGAGAGAGTCAAGAGTGTAGCCTGCATTATATCACTGTGCTCTTGCTCCACTGCAAGCTCTGAACGTGCCCCAGCTGTAGAGGCACTGTACCTTCCTGAGTGCCACTTGGCTGGCAGTAATATTGCCACAGGGGTTCACTTTCTCTTGCTCATATAGCACAGGTGGAGTAAGAAGAGATGGTTTGGGCTGTTGTAGGAATAACTTCTTGTCCTTTGGAAAGAGGCAGGACACACCTGAATGCTGGACCAATTTCACTCTGGATAATATGAAGTCCTTAAAACTGTTTTATGTAGAGATGTTTTTTGAAAAATGGATTCCTATTTGCTCCACCAAGATCAGAGCAGAGGCTGCAGTTTTGTTTTATCAGTGCAGCTGCATGCTGCTTTTGAGCTTGGTTTGTCTCTAAATGAGCAAGACTAGCACAGTGTTAGCACTGGAAGTGGTTTCTGCTTGTGTAGGCAGAAATTCCAAGAAAACCATTCCTTGAGAGTTAGAAATGAAAATATTCCTCCAAATTCAAGCTGTTGGTTGGTGATCATGGAATCAGGTTTAGAAAAGAAACTTTTATTTTGTCAGTACAGAGGGGCTGTGTTTGCACATTGCTCCATACTTACTGTCCTTTAACAAAGCTGCTTGCTCCAAAAGTAAAGAATTACAATGGAGAACATGTAAAGCCCTTTACTACAGAGCACACCATAAACCTTTCTTCCTTTCTGTTACAAATCCAAAGACAGTTTCCTGTACAGAAAAAGCAGAAATGCACCACTAGCTATAAAGATAAGTCGGGATATTTTCCTTTCATTCTTTTTTCTTGTTGTTTCTATTTATGTCTGTGGGCTAGAGTTAAAAGACTTCATACATTTTAATGGGGCATCTTGCATATTAAAT